CTAAGGTTGTATGGACATTTAATTTCTAAACATATTTTTCCACAACAAGAACACTCAACAACACTATCTGGTGAGGCACCCATAAAACTAAAATCTTTATTAATAAATAAGCCTGAATCAAAAACTTTAAAGTTTTCGTGACATGCAGTCATAAGATTTATATATTTTTCTCTAGCAGTTTTTTCGTGAGAAATTCCGCAATCAGTAGCGATGCTTCGAAATTTTGCAGGATAACATTTTTTTAATAATAGATAGAGAAGGATTCTCAGTATCAGAATGACAAACATCTTTCATAACAGATGCAGTTATTCGACCACATTGAAATTGGTGCCAAAAACTAGAGCTTGATTGTAATCGTGTCAAACTTTCTATTTTAACTATTTGCTCAGTTGTTAAAGTTAAACTAGGATAAATAGATTCACAATAAGATTGCAACTCCATGTAATTAAGAGTTTTTTTATCTAAAGAATATAAATTGCTCATTAAAGATACTTTAAGATGATCAGATTCTGTAGAGTATGCATGAGCATATTCAGGGATTATTTTTAGAATAGCTGCCTTTGATTTTGATTTATTAAGTTTATTAAAAAATACATTTAGCTCTTGATGTGTTGGCTTTTCAATTGCTGATTTCTTAACTGTAGAACAAACTAATGCAGAAGTACTGCAATCATTTGGGTCATCTTCCAAACTTTTGTCTAGTATTCGTTTTTTGGTTATGCTTGGTCGAAAATCGATTTCACATAAACGCTTTGGTGTTAACTGTGCTGGAGAGTTTGGAGGTAACCAGTAAGATTTGTAATCAGTTACTGTTTTAGATTTTCGCATTTTAACAGTTATGTCAATCCAAAATAGAACTGCAGCAATATGTGTGCATGCTTCAGCAAGACCCGCCATGCAATTACAGTGTGCGCATACAATTTTACCACTACATTCTGCAACAATCCATGGACTAAGTGGGGCATCATTAAGGCGTTGTGAATGAAACACCTTAAATACAAATTATAAAGTATTAAATAGATTCAAACATTTAAAATTATAAAATTATATGTACATGCTTTATCAATATTTTGTTTCTTACCTATCCAATAACAATTCTCAAACTTCCTATGCCAATAACTCCCACATTCCTAACCCATCCTTCTAACACTTGATTATATGCTTCTAAGCTTTTATAGGCCTTCATATCCTCAGCTGTATAAGAATTTGGTGAAAATACAAGATAATTTACTACATCAGCGTAAGTTACAGCTGGAAAAATTTCCTCACTATTTTTGAATTCGCTGTTTGGAATTGAGTAAGGATCTATACTATTTATAAGTAGAATTTTTTGATCATATCTGTTTTTGGAAAGCAGATCAAGTGTTTTGTAATAAGACATTTCTTTTCAGTAAATATTTAAATTGTTAAAATTGATACTGATTTTATTTAAATCAAAAAAAGGTTTATACTATAGGAAAGTTGATTATTAAGCCACGCTGATACCTAAATCAAATTAAAACAATTATAAATTGCATTTAAAATCAATACCGCAAACAGTTTATTTATATTTTTATCCTCTCATAATGGCAAAATTTTCAATGTAACGTGTCTACGAAATTTTTAAAAATAAAAAAAATCATTATTATTTTTTATTCAATAACGATTTATAAACAATAATTATTCAAAAACAATTTTCAGAAATAATTAAAAAAAAATATATATATATATATATATATATATATATATATATATATATATATATATATATATATACATATATATTTTACTAAATAATATTGAACTAAAATTAATAATAAAATAACAATTAAAAACATTTCAAACTTTTCATAATAAATTTACATTTAAAACGTTTATAGTTATTTGAGTTAATTGTTAAATTGAACTAGTTTGCAGTTATTTATTTATTACGGTAGTTAAAACACTTAATGTCTATAAGCACTTCTTTATATAAACAAGGCCTGATACATGCAAAATATTATATATATATATATATATATATATATATATATATATATATATATATATATATATATATATATATATATATATATATATATATATATATATATATATATATATATATATATATTAGGGCTGTACCGGATTTAATTTTTCCAAATCCGGCCGGAGCCGGATTTGCCAGATTTTTACTAACAGATCCGGCCGGAATCGGAGCCGGAGCCGGATTTCGAAGCAAAACTACAGGAACCAAAATCCTGTATATCAAAATCCTGTATATACTTGGTGTTGAAAATGGTCAACAATGTTGACTATTTAGATCACCAAGTGACAGTTCCCGACGGGCATTTCTTTTTAAAAGTTACGATCTAAATGTATTTTAAATGTCTTTTAAACGTCTTTTAAACATTAATGTTTAAAAGACGTTTAAAAGACATTTAAAACACATTCAGAACGTAACTTTTAAAAACAAATGCCCGTCGGGTTGTTTTCTATTAAACATCATTTTTGTTGTTTAAAAGTTTTATAGCAATTTCTATAGAAATTAATAGACATTTTATATAAATTTTATAGAGTTTCTATAGGCCATATGTTTCAAAAATTTAGAGAAATTCTACAGAACTTTTTTTCCCGGGATGTTGTCATTCCGCCACTGTAGTGAATCAGCGTGTCTATATATTTCTGATTCTTCCAGATATTGGCTTAGCTGAGTGTCAATGCCTGTTGGTAATTGTTGTTCATGTGCTGTGCCACAAGCGGGCGTAGACTGAATAATTTCATCTATATATATTGCCATTGTAATAATGATAATGTATAAGAATTATCCAGCCGGGATTGTTTTGCTGGATTTTCTTTATTTTTTTCAATCTAAAAAGGTTTCTCCTCAATGCCTTTGAAACGCTCATCTAATGAGTTGATTAGGATTGACTTCATAGTCTTTACACCTGCATTATTGCAGAATATCGTGTGTCTTCTCTTCAGAATTTTTTGTTGCGTTCTTGTTTGAAATTAGGCTTAGCTAATTAAATTGTAAAAAAATGTAAATACAGATACCAAAACAAACATGAAGTTCAAAAATTAAGTATTACGTATACATGTTATCACGGGTAAGAAAGATGTAATAAACATCCAGAAATCCGGCCAAAATTATGCCGGATTTGCTAACATTTTGCCGGAGCCGAATTTGGGCCGGATTTGTAAAAATGGCCGGACTTCGGCCGGAGCAGGAGCCGGAGCCGAAATTCGGTACAGCCCTAATATATATATATATATATATATATATATATATATATATATATATATATATATATATATATATATATATATATATATATATATATATATATATATATATATATATATATATATATATATATATATATATACACATATATATATATATATATATATATATATATATATATATATATATATATATATATATATATATATATATATATATATATATATATATATATATATATATATATATATATATATATATATATATAATAACATATTATACATGCAAAAATATTAATTCATAAAAACAGTTTTCTTCCAACTAACAAGGTAAGCGTGGTCAAGTAGATTCTACCTCTGGCTAGTGAACCAAGGGTTCCAGGTTCGTTTCTCAGTATCAAAAAGATTTTTTTTTGAGTTATTGCACAAAGATTGTTTTTTTGTTTATGCACTCTTCTGCACTTGAACCATATAAATTCAAAGTGCAGAACGTGCACTGTACAAAGAGCCGCAACAGTCCATTAACAGGCTGTAACTGTTAACAGGCTGAAATGGAGTGTACACATTGACTAAGTAAGATTTAGGCGCATTTATTTTACAATCAACATATAGATACATCAACTGTGGGTTTAGATTTTGGTTTGGTCAGATACTCTTTTAATTAAAAAAAAGTCTAATTTAATTCTTTTTTAATTTAAAAAAAAAAAATGTTGCGTCACAAAATTGAAACCCCTTCCCCCTCATAACAAATCTTCACAAAATTATTCATAGTGTTCCTGGGAACCCGGGAACACTATGAATAATTCGGGCTATCCCAAAATAGCAAAAAAATCTGGGAATTTGCAACCCCTAAACATAAGGACTTCTTGGGGCAACTAAAAGAAAAAAAAAAAGTGTACATCAACACAAGGGATGGTTTTGGGTTAGCAATCCTAATTCTAATCCTAACCCTTATATATGTATCTCCCTGATTTTATTATGCACCCCCTGCATGTTTTTTCTATTTAAGTAATTTTCTCGCCATTTCCTTACTTCTGATTCCATTCTCTACCTCTACAAATCTCTTATTCGTCCCTGCATGGAATACTGTTGTCATATTTGGGCTGGTTCTTCTAACGATTCACTTTCTCTTCTTGACAAGGTCCAAAAACGCATTGTAAATATTGTTGGACCTGGACTATCTGCTAAGCTTGTGCCTCTTTCCCATCGTCATAAAGTTGCATCTCTTTCTCTTTTCTACAAATACTATCATGGTCACTGCTCAAAGGAGTTATCATCTCTAGTTCCATCAACTAAAATTCATTCTCGTTTTACTCGTCATTCAGCTAAGTTTCATTCGTTTACTGTATCTGTCCCTGCATGCTCTGAAAACTTTTATTCAGCTAGTTTTTTCCCTGCACTTCAATCTTTTGGAACTCTCTCCCATCTTCATGTTTTCCTGACTCATACAACCTTCAATTTTTCAAATCTTCTGTCAACCGTTTCCTTGCTCTATAACTCTGTTTTTTTTTTCCTAGTAACT